TTCTGGGTCTGCCCAAACCTTACCCATTGAGATCATGTGGTTTCCCAGTAACTCCTGGGTTCAAAAATTCCTGGGATTTCAGAGAATACCTGGAAGCTTGGTGGCTCGCTGAAATTATGCTGTACAAAGTCCCTTCCAGCTGCTTGTCTCCCCTATTGCTTGAGAAGAGGAGGATGGCAGGCTAAAAATCTTATCTTGCTATCTTTCTCTCCGCAGAACAGCTTGCCACCTGATGCTTCTGGAGTGGCTTAAACATGGGGTTTCCTTTTCTTTCCTCAGCAGGAAGATTTTCTTGCAGAAAAAAAAAGATCATTTGTTCTCCCTCTGCTCTCAGAATCATCTTTTGTTCATCCTTTACCTCCCCCTTTACACTTTCCCTCCATCTTCTCTAGAGCACTTGATGGCTGATGCTGCGGTTGCAACACAGTCCAGGCCAAGAGGGGAGTTCATCTGCCTGGACAGTCATTTTCCCGTTCTCACCCATGACAGAAGGGTGCTCCTTGGTGCTGTCAGTCCCAGAGCCCCTTCGAGCAAGAATTTTATCCCAAATCACAAGCCCATTCCCATCCTAGAAACAATCTGGCATGTGAGAAGGGGTGGAAGAGGCTGCTGTGAGTCCTGGTTGAAATGGAACAGTTGGCAGCATGCGAGAACCAGAGGCTTGTGTAAGTACGTAAAGACTCCTGACTGTCTCATTGCTGCTGTTCTATTTACAGCAGCAGGCAGGATGAAAAATCGGTGAAAGAAGCAGTTTCCCCCTCTTTTAAAATCTCTATATCAAAAGGTATTGTAATGAATTGTCCATTGAACATATCTGTCTAACTTTATTCCAAACGTTAAGATAATCGGCAAGGGATTTGGGGTCAGGTAACAGCAAGTAACAAAGCAGCAGTCTGTGAAGCCAAGCAAAGCCTGCTTCTCCTTTTGCAGCCTAACTAAATGAGGAGTAATTGGGGTTAAAACCTGATCCAGAAGTAAATCAGTAAGTAAATCCTTCATGGAACTGTCCCAAATTTAAACCCTTAGAAACTCGGGAACTCAGAGCTGTGGCGGGAGGCGGAGGAAGAATCAACCTGAGGTTTGTTTCACTAATGTGTATCAATCACTGGACCTGTTCTGTCTCAAGTGACTTAGCAGATATTTTAAAAAAACAAGTGTTCTAAGTTATCTTGCAATGCGTTTCAAGAAATCAAAGGATATGGATTATTTTTTTTAGTTGGGCACTGTGTTTTTAATGTATTTAGAGATTCTTAGCATGCATAATGCCCAGCGCCCTTTCTGAATGATGGTGATTCTTCTTGGAAATTATATTTCATTTCACCCCCCAGGAGAGCAAGACAAATTTTGGTGTATAACAAGTTCATTTGACATGCACACTCTAACTCGTGCTGTGGGACTTACTGAATGCGAACATGAATGTTTTTCTGGCAGGCTTACAGGAGGGGATGGCCATGGTGGCATGCACCACCCCCAAATTCCCACTTTATGGAGAAAAAAAACAAAACAAACCCGCTCTTGAGGAAGATGCTGCACTGTTGCTTGCTTTGCCCTTTCAGGAGACTCAGTGCGCTGAGTATTGTGCTGAACTCTGTCATCCAGCATGGCCAAAATCCATGAGAAGGGCACATTAACAATCAAGTAATGCAAAAACTAAATGTTACTCATTGGAATTGGCTCCCAGGGCGGCTGCTCTGATCACTGCTGACCTGGATTGAATCAGTTTGTATCGAAACTTCAAAAAGTTGATCAGGAGCTGCCAAAGAGCCACCAGCGTCACAAGCTTTAACGCAGATCAGTGGATCTGCCCGTCAGACTGGGCAGAGATTACAAAGGGAAACAGACTTTGAGAAATGCTGACTGTAGCATACTGGGGATGAATGTGTATATATAACACGTAATGTGTGTATTCGTAGACATGCAGATAAATATATTTACATATTTATTATAAATACCATTGCACGGTGAATTCAAGCACAGTTATTTTAAAAACATTTTAGTATTGGCAGTAGTGTCCACAAATTCCACGATCCTTGTTTTCTGCAGTGGCAGCTCAAAACCAAAGTGTGATAGTGAATACCCTGTCTTTCACAACGTGTATCCCGAGTGTTGCTATTTCAGGGCCCCGCCTGCATCTGTACAGCTGGAACTCAAGGGAGAGTACCCTAGCGTGCATTAAATAAAGTTGAGATTTTCATACTAAAGCGCTGGGGCACTAGGCCATCTCTGATACAGAGAATTGCTCTGGTGGGGAGAAAAATTATTCAAAAATTAAAAAAAAAAAATCAGAAATTTCTAGCAGAACTCCAGGAGGTCTACTGAGGGAATCAGTCTGACCCTGGTCAGCTGCCTGATTCTGGGAAAGCGGCTTCTCTCTGCACCTCTACCCGTGGCTTCTGGCTGATTGAATGGTTAGAGGCCGTGAAGCGTGCTGTGAAATAAGTGCTGTTCAGTAGCCAGTACGTGCTGTTAAATGTCGGAGCTTTTGGACCTGTCTGTGTTGGAAATGCCACAACTCTTTCAGCTCTTTTCAGTGCAGACTTGTAAAAGGCTGCATTTACGCACATCAACAAGGCTCGGGGTGTTTGTGCTCCTCACGCTGAGCGCAGCAAGCTTTAGAGGATCCACGCGGTGAAAAAGCAGGTGCTTGTGCCTGTTACATGTTTCACGTTTCTGAGAGGCCCTTTTCTTGGGTGCCTCAGCACTTTCAGAACAGAAAGTTGCGCTCGACTACATGAAATGCAGCAGAAGAGCTGGAGGCTGCAGCGTTGCCTGGCAGCGCGGTGCAGAGGCTGCTCCGGCCAAAGACGCGCGTTTGCCGTGGTCAGCGTGGCGGGCGGCTGCCCCGATTGCGGGTGTGCAGCGGGCTCGAGGTGCCCCTCCAAGTCCTCCTGGTTATGCTTTTATTTGGTGCTTTTGAATTCAGTTTGCCTTTAGGGTGTTGCGCAACCATTAGTGTGACTTGGCTTGGTCGTCCTTGTGGAACCAGCGCGGTGTCTGGGTACATCACCACCGGAGCATTTCTCAGTGTGTTTGTGCAATGTGTGCTTGCAAGCTCTTGCAGGATTTTCTTCAGAGCGCTTCTAATTCCCCTAAGTGTAGCAACTTGAGGAAGAACTTGAATAAACTAGCAGAAGTGTTGAAAGACACAAACCAAAGCATTTCTTCATATCAGTTTTGGGTTCTCAGACTGACACGGGCACATTGCATCTCCTGGGGAGGCTCACTGCAGAAAATGCACCTATCAGTCCTGCCAGAATAACCAGGGGTACCAATTATTTCCTTTCAAGGGTTTCCAGCTAAAATTGTTTGAATTTAGCATGGGTTAAAGATTAAATTGCCTTGCTGGAAGTGAAAAGCACAGTGCCTCAGGAGCTTGCTCCATTTTAAAAGCTGTAGTTAATTTTTTTTCTATATGCTTTCCAAACAGGCAACGCTATGGTGCCAGTTTCTTTCAGCAATGTCAAATTATGGCTCAAGATAGAATTATGGAAAAACAAGTGTTATGCATGAAGGAGCCATCATATCGCTCACAATTAGAAGTAGTGCTTTGTATTTGTTAGTAAAGTGCCTATCTTGATGTTTTTGAGGCAAACATGTCAGCCCCGGCATGTTCTGTTTGCCACTAAGCCTCTTCCTTCTGCCTCTCAGCCTCTTTTGAAGTGTTACCCAGGAGCAATTTTGGTTCTTGCCGCATTGGTACCAAGCATTGAGAAAGAAACCCGGATTTCAACACAAAACATGCATTCAAAACACAAATCCAGTGTATGAATCCCCCCACATCCACCACCTCTCTGGTGATTTTATACCTGGAGACCTTTGGCCACAATTAACTATTGCTGTGGAGGAAATGGTTGCTGATCACAACTCCAAGTTAATATTTAGTGCGAGGGCTGAGCCTGAACAGACTATAGTGGGAAAAGGGCATCCCTTTTCTTGTTTAACCCCGGGTAGTAAGAAGTATGGAATAAAAAGGCAATGCTCTCTTTTGAGAGATAAGCTTGAGCTATGTAACTGCTTCAAAATGTCAGTAACATCCATTCATTCCCACACGAGCAGCACAGCATTCTTTACAGCCCCAAAGCATTACAACAGGCTTTAGCTGCAGCTCTGCAGCCTGCAAACATATACCTGGGGTTTTCAATGCCAAGACCAATGACTTTAATTAATAATTCCATGCTCATGAACAGGTGGTATTTCTCTATTTGCAATTTCTGTTTTTCTAGATACAAGTATTTCGATAGATTCAAATTCTTTGAAATATTAATAAGCAATGCTATACTGTATGCTTTCCTCTTTCGGTGATATTTTTTCCAGATTAGTTACCCCCCCCCCAAGTCACAACCAGACCCGAGGCTCTGACGAAACGCTCCAGCGTTTTGCGTTCCCCGGGCCGGGCTCAGCCCGGGCTCGCCTCAGGAGGCGCCGTTGCCCGCCCGGGGGGGGGAGGCTCCCGGCCGGGGCCCCGCGGGCAGCACCGGCCGCGCCCGCCGGCCCCGCTGAGGGGGCACGCGGGGGGGTGTGGGGGTGGTGATCACCATAGCAACCGGTGGCGGGAAGCCACTGCGCCTGCGCAGGGAGGGTGCGGCCCTCGCCGCGCGCGCATGCGCAGCCCCCGCCGGCGGGAGGCGGCCCGGCGCCTCGCGCAGGCGCACCGTGCCCGTTGCGGGGCTCGGAGGGAGGCGGTGGAGCGCCCTGCGCATGCGCCCCGGCTGCGCCCCCCGGGGCTCGGCGGCGAGGAGCGGCGGAGAGGTCGGCGGTGGCGGCGGGGGGGGGAGGCGGGGGGGGCGGAGCGGAACGGAGGCGGCGGGCGGGGGCCGCGTGAGCCGTGCTGCCGTGAGGGAGGGCGGGCGGACGACGTGAGGCGACGTCATGACGTCGGTGCCGTCAGCGCGGCGCGGCGCCACCTGCCGGCGGGGAGGCGGTGGCGTCGAACCGTGGGGTCGCCGTCACCACCGCTTCCCCCCACGCCCCGGCCGGGGTGTGGCGTCAGTGGCGTGACGTCACCTCCCTGAGGAGCGGGAGGCGGCTGAGGGGCGAGCGGGAGCCTCGGGGCACCCGCGGGCGCGGGGGGCTCAGGCTGGGCTCGGGTGGGCAGCCCGGTGCCGCGCTGCTGCTGGTCCGTCGGGTGAAGCGCCGTCCCCGAGGTCAGCCTGGCACCAAAAGCACAAATTCGGCGGCAAAGCAAAGGCAGCGTCCAGCGGACGGCCTGATCAGGGCGTAGGGGTTTAAGCATGCGCTGACTGCCGGGGAGATCCATTGAAAACTTTGTTTAATGCGTCTGGCCCCAAAGCAAACGTATTTCAAGCAGTGTTAGCAGGGAAGGCAGTTCTGAGGAGTCCGCTAGCTGCTTCATGGAGCAATGTGGAATTTTATCTTTCTCTTCCAGGGGCAAGAGGAACAGCGCGTGGGTGTCGGCTGTTTTACTGACAGCACTTTGTCCCCGATCCTGCAGATACACAGGTGCTTCTTTTAACCATCCTGGTTTTAATTAAAACCCAAATTGTGCATTTGCTGGGCAAAAACATGTATTATTTGTACTAAATAGTTTGACTCTAGTAAAGCCCAAAGGCAGTAACATGGACTGATGCTCAGTCTGTTGGCTTCTGTATAAACTCTCAAAAGTCACAGACTGAGTACAGTCCCTGTTTTGACTACAAAAAGGACCCTTGTGTGGCTGGCTTCAATCTACTTAAAATCCTGTTCTTCATCTCCCTCCTGGTCCCTCCTCTCCCCTCTAATTTTGCTGTTTGAATTAAAAGTTTTCTGGATAGTCAGAAGTCATTGTATTGCTTTACACTCTACAGATGTGTCAGAGGCAGACTAGAAACGGAAACAGAAAGAATTTTTATCATAAGCTTTACATTTAGAAGAAAATGGACCTTGAATTCTTCTGAGCATTTGCTTTTCCCACTGGGTCAATTTCTATTACATGTTTTTTTTCAAATAAACTGTCAAGTGGTAGAACATAGCATTTTAAACAGGATGTTTGACACACTGTTATGTGCTAGTGAAACTCAGACTGTTCTTGAGGGACCTGGTTGCATGCAAGGTCAATGTCCAGAGTTTCTAGAAAGAATTTTCGTGAAAGCTAAACAGAGAGGAATTGACATTGTTGTCTGAGAGCTGACCTCTTCCTGTTACTGTAGCAGTTCATGGAAGATACATGTTTATGCATCCCTGAGATTATTGGTATGATACCAGAGTTTCCCAGAGCACTCCCATCAAGCTGATAGGTAACATTATATTTGGATATTGAGGAGGTAAAGGAGTTAAGTTAATAAAAAGAGAAGATATTTTACTAGGAAGAAATGTAGAAATGTATTTGGAGAACAGTAAGCCAATCTGCTTTATGATGGACACTGGTGTATGGAGAACAGATACGGTTGCATGGAAACATCCTAAAGCAACATATCCACAAAGTAGCATGTTGTGTATTTTACTGTAGTGCTTATGTGATTTTAATTGAGAAGATAGCGAGTTATTAATTGTTATGAATTAATGAAACGTTAGTGTAAAAGATATATTATTAGATCGCCTGTAGAAACCTATGATGAGTTTGGTCACCTTTTCAAAGCAAGCACCTTCCTATTTTAGAGAATGCAGGGAAGTCAAGATGATGTATTAAATTTCACTTTGTATTTGGCTTTTGTGATGAGACGCTTTGACATAATCACAGATCAGAAGATATACTTTTGGGGAAAAAATACTATCAGTAGAACTTACAGTGTTTTAAGTGAATGGGCCCTTTAGAATAACATTGTCTCCTTGGGAAGAAATGACTTGAATGTTTCACATTGAATTGTCCTTACTTCTCTTTATATTCATGTCTTCATTAATTATTCAGCTGATGTTCTTGCTGCAAGCATCCATAACGCTAATCGCTCCGTTCTTGATCTACAGAACGATAGAGTTGTTTGAGATGATCAGACTTACCATATCGGAGTGGAGTCGGGCACCCAGGAGAAGGTCACGCAGTGGTCGGCCTGGGAGGAGGGTGGGCTGGGCGAGGCTCTGTGCTGGGCCCCGAGAGGGCTGTGGGCTCGGCGCCTCTCGGCCGTGCGCCGCTCCTGTTGTGTGGCCTGTGGGCAGCACAGCCTCTTCTGAACAATCCCTGCTGTAGGTTCACCGTAACAATTTCACCACAGTTTTCACTAGTATCAGCTACAAAGGGAACATAACCTTTTTACCGTTACAGCATGTGTATCGATATGGCCACATGGTCATACAGGGGCCTGCGGCTGTTGTGATTATCCGTCCTGACTCCTAACCCCTTTGCTGTTGTTGCTTCCCAGGATAAAATGACCGATCCTGGAAGTATGGCCTTGTCCCAAAACAGGGACTTTGTATCGAGATTTGTGCTAGTTTACCTAGTGGTCTGCATCGTTCTGCCTCTCTGTCATCAGCGCTAACGGTTCCCTTCTCTGCATCATCAGACAGCTTGATCAGTGGTGGCTTGTGTCTCTCCTAAATCATTTCCTCAGTCTAAATAATAGAATACCAAGATAGGCAGAGAATTAATCTCTGTGGGATGGTACTAGAAATATATGCGCTCAATGACTGCTGTTTGCAGTTGCATTTTGAAAGCTATTTTGCTACATTTTAATAATTTTAAATGTGTTGTATTGATTCTGTATGATTTTAATGAACCGTCTTGTCCCTCGATACTTCTTTAATGGTTTACAAAAGAATTACACCTCTGTTAACACACAGAGGTCTCATTAAAAAGGTATTAGCTTAATGTAGGAGATCTTGGTTTTCATAAAACAGTGTTGATTGGTATTAATTTTATTATCCATCTTTATTCATCAGTTCCCATATAAGCCATTTCTATAACAGCCTGGGGTTGATCTCAGTCTGAAAGATGGGTGTTTACTTCCCTAATTGTCCTTTTTGAAAAATCACAGTGACTTCTGCTTGCAAATGATCTGATGCTGTTGACAGAAATACTTTCAATAGCTGCTGTTTATTATGCTTTGGATTACTGTTAGAATAGGCTACTTCCATCCATCATCGGATGCATATTATACAAATACTTAGTATTCTCAGTATTAACAGTTCTACAGCTTGTTTTATAATGATCTTGTGGCTTTGGTAGGGTTTTCTTTTTGGTTTTGATGTATACCAGAAAGATCTTTTCTGAAAGTCCTTAACTTTTCTGATCAGAGAACTAATCTTATGTAATTTTACCTCCTCCTCATTTTAATACAATTCATTGTTTATATTCAGTGCTATCCAATTTCAATGCTATCTAATTCCCTTACCATGATGTTATTTTACATACTTGTTTTTATTATTACTCGTGATTTTCTGAAAACCAAGTTAGGTTTAAATAAGTATTGTTCTCTTTATTGATTTTTGGGGCCTCTACTGAAATGTTTTTATACAGTCCTTAATTCTCAATTGTATTTTCCTGTTTGAATTAATTTGTTGTTGTTTTCAGTCAAATTGAATAAGCATTTTTGAAACACCAGCTGCATATATTTCTGAAGTGTGTGCTACTGTGTTTGCATATAAGCCAAGAGCATTTGCACCTGAGCAACCGTTAGTTTTTATTTTTATATTCACTTCCCCTTTATCCTTCCAGAGGAGGTATAAAATAAAAAATTTCTATTGTGGTGAAGTGCTTGATAAAGTAAGGTTAGTTTCTACAGCATCTGAAAGGTAGAGGGACATTTCGTCATGTAAGTAGTGATTTAAAATTCATGTCTAGGATGTGGTAGATTTTTTACTGGCTATTAAATGCTTTGCCATATGTACAAGGTAGTAGCAGGGGGAGGTGTAGTCTTGAAAAGAAATGTGAACGTGGTACTCTGATGGGATATCAGGTAATAGAAGTGAGTAGTGTCAGGTAGACATTGGTATTGGTCATTGGTAAGATTGCTCGTTAGAATCTGGTTGTGATTCTCCTAGCTATCATTTCCTCGCTTGTATAGATTTGAGTTAATTTGTCATTTCCTATTTTCTACGACTGGTTTTGTTACCCTTTTCTGGCACAGGAAAGCTGGCAGAGACCGGGACAAGAGGGTTGGTACCTGACTCTAATTTCTGTTCTGCAGTTATGTTTGTTTTCTCCTCATAGAACAAGTGCTGCTGTCCTCAGTGTTCATTTATCTGCACTTCTACAAACACAGAGACCCTGCACCGTACAGCTCTAGTGTTGTGTCTTTGTAGAGTAGTGTTGGTGATAAAGGTATTGCTTAGTTCCGGAACCTGGGGAGAACAGGCTCTAGTGAAGAGAGTCTCTAAAAATACGGAGGGTAATATGCTTTTTCAGAAGTTACACTGTTGACACGGAGGTTCTTCTCCATTAGGAACCTGTAGGAAGATTTTCTGGTTACAGGATTTGGTCTGGAAGAATCCCTAGGGACCGCCTTCTGATGTGGTTTCCAGAACAAACACTACAGAAATTCTTTCCCTTTGCAGTATTTGGACTGGCTTGATTGAAAGTTTTGCTACCAACCTTCAGATCTTCAGGCTGCAGCTTTCACAGAAAGAGAAGGGGAGGGGGCACTAAAACTTCAGTGCCAACGCAACAGCATGCATCCCATCACCCTGCCCGCTGTCCACACTGTAATTAGCAGCCTAGGTTCGTACAGGCTGTGGCAACTCATTTCTGAAGACTGAGGCGATACCAGTCACTTTGATCTCATTCTTTGGCTTTCTGTTAAGTTCTGGCCAGCCTTACAGGACTGTCAGGACCACTCCTATGTTGATCTTGCTGGTGAAGGAAGTGGGAGAAGGTGCTCCTGCCGAGAAAGGTGCCACCCTTCCTGCAGCAGCCCACCCTGCCTGGCACGCAGACACAGCCTGGCTCCGTGTTTCCTGCCGAGTGGAGACGGGTGCTGCAGGCTCAGCACCGTGTCTTCCTACACCCAGTTAGGAATGCAGCTTCCTGTTAGGCTGGTTCACTGGTGGAGATGCGGGGAGAGGTTCTGTCTGCAGAATGGGGTAATTTGTATTTTCCCTGCAAGGAAATGGTATGTATGAAACAAAAAAGCCAGGTTACTTCTTGCCTCGCTTTCTAGTGTTAAATAGTCCAACTTCCCCTAGTATTTCTTGTGTAACCCAGGAAGTTTCTCCGAAGGTAGCATGGCACTTTCCTTTTCTGAAGGTCTAGAGTTGTGCTTTCTTTAAAGGTGAGTAATGGAGGAGGATAGGCCCTGAGGCACCACTGCAGGGTTGAGAGGGGAGAAGCTGTCTACTGGGTACGAGTTGTTGAGGCCTACTTAGCATTGATCTACGCTTTCTAGCCACAATGATGACATATTCTTGGAGACTGAAATGGCAGGAGAGTTGTTACCGGAACAAATAGACAGTTTAAAGTGGCAAGTGAGCAGGACCAGATGTTGTATATTTGAGAGCTCAGGAGAGATAGTGTCAGATGGTTGGGCTGCTGGTAGAAATACACTTTGAGTTGTTAAAAGAGAAGCTGCTCTGAAAGGTGGGAGGCTAGCAGATGTTTTACCTGTTGTTTAGTTTGTTGTTTTTTTTTTTTTTTTAAAGAAGGATTCTGTGATTGAACTATGTAATTACAAGGGAATGATTCTGTTATACGTACCTGTTAAACTGTTCAAAATGATCATCAAGTTATCTGAGATGTCTGTCATTATATATTTTTAACCTGATAGTGTCTTATCAACACGGTAGCCTGGTTTCTCCAGTAGACTGCCGCTCAGTAGTCTAATGGCGTGGTTTGAATTTGTCAACAAACTAGGAAATAAAGAATGGATTAATATAGCTTGCTTAGAAATCATTTAAAAAGGGGAAAGAGATTAAGAATTATTGTGAATGGTAAAGGATCTGAGAGAGGAAACTGGCTGAAAGGTAGCAAAGAGCATCCAGGGGTTTGTTCTGGATCTACCTTGATGCATGCCTGCTGGTCCCACTGGGCAGTGATGCAGCTTTTTCAGCTCAGTCAAGGTCAGAGGTGGATCCAGCAGGCTCTGAGCTGCAGGTAATACAGCAGGTCATGAAATTCAGTGTGGCGGAGTGTAAAGTAGAGCATGGAGATGGAAAAAGAGATAAATCATATGGAACACCATAATGATACCATATACTGAAAGATCCCTGGGTATCAATGTTCAGGTAAAATGTTTTCCCAAAGAGCAGATGCTTTCAAAACAAAGCAAATAAGATGTTAGGATCTGCAAGATCTGGATAGGGAAGGAATGTGAACAATATAAAAATTCTTCATCAGCACTCTGCTGTCTGCAACACTGGTCAGTGCATCCCAGAAAAAGCAATGAAGAATGAAGGCGATTCAGGGAGTACTGATGGAGATGGTTAGAGGCCAGGGGAGATTCTCCTAGGAAAAGAGGGAAGTCTGGGACTCTTAGAGCATAGACACTGGAGGACGTGATACATATAATTTAATAAAACACTGAGTGGCCTAAAGAGTGGATTTGGAGCTTCTGTCCTCCTTGTCTCAACAGAAGACAGTCAGTGAAGTACAAAGGAAACAAACAGAAGTGATGAAAAAGGATGCTTTCTCATGGATTTTTTCAGTTAAACCAGGGAACTCAATTCATTAGACGCCTGTGAGCCTAAACATGGCAGGATCAAAAAGGTGAGGGTGTTATATGGCTGGAGGCTTATGGTAGTAGCATTGATGGATTTCTGTAAAAATAAACTGTAGTGGTTCTGGTTTAAAGAAAGTTACTGAGAAACAAAATTTGTCCCAAATGGAAAAGGCAAGGACAGACTATTTGCAGGATCATAGGATAACTGGGGCTGGAAATGACCTCGGGAGGTCTCCAGTCCAACATCCTGTTCAAAACCAGGTCAGCTATGGGGTCAGAGCAGGGTCCTCAGGGCTTTAACCACTCTGTCTGTCCTGTTCTGCCTGCTGAAGGGTTCTGGACTCTCTCTGCAGCCACGTGCAGTGCTGCTCCCTGCTGAGCTGAGCAGATCCCAAGCAGCACATCTAACTCACCTACGTATTTCAGGTACACAGGTCAGTGGAAGTGGCAGAACTTCGTACCCGTAGAGCATGTGCTGTTTCTGTCTCTTTCTCCCTGAAACTTAGAACTCGAGCAAAAGGAGCAGTCAGTACAAAATACACTAAATCTAACCTTTTCCTTCCATTTTCCAGGTTTCATCTTTCATTCTTACTGGTCCTGCTTTGTACCATTTTGCTGATCCACATTTGCTTGAAGGGCACAGCTGGCCTCTAGATTTGGCCTCTAAGTAGACAGGTAAGTGCTACTGTTTATTTTATTTGATCAACTATTTGATTTGTTGAATCCTAAAATCTTACAGAATTAATTGAATACTGTACTGAAATAAATTATTTTCAAGGCTTTTACTTTTCGAGCTCTACAAGCTGGTGCAAAAGCTGGCTGTTAGGTACACCTGTAGCAGCAGCATCAGAAATACTGACATGCTGAACAGAGCAGGAGCCTGTAAATACAAGTCTGGAAAGGAAGGAGTAAGACAGAAAAAATCTTAGTTAGTTTTGCATTATTCGTACATCTGACTTGGTCTACCTGGGACACTGAACATTGATTGCAAATGCAAAAGTGCTGATCTGTCTCAAAGTTTAATATCAGGAACTCACCATAAATAATACAACAGTACAAATGTGTCTGTGAGAGGTATTTAAAACCATGGAGGATGTGAGATTCTTTTTTTCTCCACATGCCGTCTCCTACTTAGAAGAAAATGGTCAATTTACAGTGATAACTACACCAAGATTCTGTCAAGGAAAATTAAATTTATGAACTGGCTACATAAAACTTCAGTTTCTCTCTAACAGGAAATGACTCCAAGATTCACAGCAAAATCCTCTGCTGGTTTGGGAGCCTGAGTTTAAAATAAATAAATCCATTAACATCTGTAATTGCTTATAGGAAAGGCTGACCCATGAAAGTGTGTAACCAGCATTCCTTAGCCTCGCATGTCTGCAGCCAAGCCATTTGAGAAAACAATCTTGCATATGTTTTTCCTGCTTTTTGAGTCTTTCTGTGCCCAGAGCTTTACTGGAGAAACTGAACGATAGCTGCTGCCATTCCAAGTGAAACACTCCAGTTTAGGCTTGAAAGAAATAGATTTTGGGAGCAATATAAAACCTCTGGTAAAACAGCCAGAACCATAGTGAACTTAGGACTAGGAAGAAGAGGACAATCAAAATGTCTAAGAATAGAGATCTAGTTTTAATGTTGCCTGGAGGTTGATGATATTTCCATCTGGACATTGTACCCAGTGCTGTTCCAAGTAATCCCTAGCTAGTACTGCTGTTCTTACTGTAGCTGAAAAGATTAAAAAACTCATTTTAAAATACTGTTTGTTTAGCCTGTTTACCCTGTGTATTTGACAGCAGTTTGTGAAATGTAGTTAGTGCCATGGTTTACTAAGTACTCAGGAAGAGTCAGCATTAGTTAGCAGGAGAGCTCATCCTGAAGGTGAGCAGCCATAGAGGGAAGAGGAGAGAAAGGATGAACATGTTTGATAGAATTATTCTCAGGCTTGTCCCAGAAACCCTTCTGAAATGCCAGAAACTGCCTTTATTTACTTGTTAAAATGAGGTTGAGCTCTCCTCCTCAAAGTTGTGGTGTTGCAGAGCAGAATTTTACACTCTAGAATTGAATCTGAAACTTGATCTGAAGGACTATTTTTTTTTTCTCCTCTTGCTGCATTTGCTGGTCTTGTGTTATATACATGTAAGTATGAATGCATATAAAAAAAGGACAGTCCCAAATCCTGAGCTCCAGGAGAAAAGCCTACCCAGCATCAGATACCTGTTTTGAAAGCTTTCTTCTTCTTTCCTAACGTGGCTTGTGCATGTTTGTAGTATAATTATAAGGGGTAGTGTTTTGGGTCAATATGTGCTTTTTCTCATCTTACTATTTTATGCAAATTCTCTCCCCCTTCAGAGTTCTGCACCAGCCCTGTCCCACACTGCATCTGCATATACCATCCTACATAACCACCTTTTTTTATTTCTTTCTTTAAGGGCTGTAGTAAGTATCTTTCTGAAGCCCTGTTAGCATATCATGAAGATCCTGCTCATGCTCTACATGAACTGAGGTGCTTAACTTATGGTCTAGAGACCTCTGAAGAATCAACTTGTGAAAGCAAGTGGGGTCCTTGGAGAGACAATGTGCACTACTAAATGGCTGTGAATTAAGTGTCAGAACAGCATAGCAGAGCTCACTCTGTTGACCTCATTGAAATCTGGAGAATGGAGATCTCTGAGGTGGTAGAAGGGAACTGGTGAAATTTGCCAGTCACAGATGATGCAAACCTGAACTGAATCTGATATCTCCCCCTGGCCTTACAGTGTCACTAGGCCACAGTGTTACTGGAACCTGCAGGCCAATGGATGAACAGGACAATGATTTTAAAGAGTTGTGGGCAAATCTTTTGGGTAGAGGGAAGAAACAAGCTGGGGGTGATGAGGCAGCAAAGAGAGCTCAGAACAGGTCAAAGAGAACTGCAGCAAGAAACAAATCAAGAAGAGGCAAAGCTGCTGCTCAGAGCCAAAACCATCTTCACTTACCAGCAGCGAAGGAAACAAACTCGCCTCAAGATTTGGGTTTAAAGAAACAAGCTTCAATGCACAAAGAAGATGCTGAGCCTGTGGCCTGTATTAATGATGAGACTGCACAAGAGGATGAAAAGAGAAACCCTTTCCCTGCCAGCCAGCTGAGTACAGTGGCCAGTGAGTGCAGCCAGAGGACTCTAACAGGTGAGTGAACCAAAATCTTTCAAACAGAAAACAAGCTAGGACTGAAAAGACTCTAGTTCACTGGAGGTCTTCAGAAATCCACCTGGGAGGGACCTGTAGCAGCACTGATCAAAGCAGGTTTGCATCTTGTGTTTCCGTCTACACTTAGTTACTTGGGCTTATCTAGGGCTTTAGCCTAGGAGTGCAGGCAGATGTCCTTCAGTAAGGTGAAGCCTTGGTACAAAGTGATGTGTTAGGGAGTCATTATTCACTGTTTTTTTCTGTATCAGAACTCAGAATAAAACCCTCAAATCATTGAGGAGCAAGCTTAGAATATATTGAGGTGCTTTTTTACCCAGTGCATCATTGTGTGGTGAAATATATTGCCACTGGAGGTTGTCAAGGCCAAAACTATGAATGAGTTGAGAAAGGTGTTGGATTAATTTGTAAAGCATTAATCCTTCAGTGGTTATTAAACGTGATGGCCAGAATGCAGTCACCAGTGCACGAAGTCTTTAAACTGATAAATAAGGTCAGCCAGGAAAAGGATTATTTTGTACGTGTCCTGTCCTGATCACCCTTTCTTAAGTACATGTTGCTGACTGCTCTCAGAGACAAGATAGTGAGTGGGCTGGCGAGATCTTTGGTCCTGCCTTGTGTGCTGCCCATATCCACACGATACCTCAAGCAGAGCAGTGGTATGTGAGGTGTCAGTCTGGCATTGCCTCTGCCTCCTGCTTGTTACCACCTCTCTGTGGGAACTCTGGGTTCCTTCAGCTTAGAGCCTGAAAGTTTGAGCCACAGGTAGGGTTTGGAGATCAGAGCGGGGAACAGCAGGACCCACAGGATGTTCTGCGATGGGAGCACTGGGGTGAGCAGGGCTGTAGGGCTGCCTTGCTTGTTCTCACTAGTGACCTTCAGGCAAGGCCTTCCTTAATATTTCTTCCTCTCAAAGGGATATAGAGATACCTAAACTCCACTGTAGCACAGAAGCCTGATACTGTGGTTATCAAGTACAAAGTCATGTAATAGCTAAACACATTGTTCGCTTTCTTCTCTAAGAATGGCTGTTGCAAAACTGAGCCTAGCTTAGGCTGCTGGTGGGGAAGGCTTCCCAGCAGCTCTCTGGGCAGCTCAGCTCTGTGTTTAAAACTGTCTGGTAAACCTGTGGTGTTTTCTACCCCTCCAGTAAATACTCTGAGTGGCTGTTCCCAGACTACATTATCCTTCCATCCTGCTACACAGCCAGGGACCTGCTCTTCACCCACCTCAAAGGTACCGTCACTCGCAGGGTCGAAGTTGCGGGTAGCAGAGCTGGTAGTGGAGAGAATGCAGCAGTTCAAGAGGGTGGCACCCGAGCAGCTAAAGCACAGCACAGATGAGAGTTTGCCAAAGTCTGTAGCCAGCAGAGATTTCCCTGATGAAAGCCAGGAGCAGAACCCTCCAGAGAATGGTACGTTTCTCACATTAGCTCTTGTACGTGCAGAAAGAGTGCTGTGGGCTGGCGAGAATGGTTGCATGAGAAGCAGTCCGGATTCCTGGGCTTTGTTCCCAGCTAGCCTAGTGGCTCAGTGTGCAGCACTGAATAAATCACTCCAGATTGCTGAGAAAACTTGCTTTCTCTATTGTTAAAGGGCTATCTGTGCTTTTCTCCCAGCTCTTCTCTAAGGCTGAATTAACCTTATGTTAGATTCCAGAGGGATAATTGTCTTCTTGGAAACAGGTGGAGATTCCAACAGGATCAATGAACTTTGTCATCCTTCCCTTGGGATGGTGTTAGGTAGCTGTTAGGTAAATATGACTCTGAGGTAGCCCCCATCTTTGGTAGATCTCCAAGCACTTTAGCATGTTCTGTGCAGATGAATTGAATTCACGGCAATTTTACTCTGGTTTGGTTCTTTATAAGTCAAGGCCCTGTTGGTTCTGTATAGATGAGAAAATCTGCCATGTTTTAATATATGTATAATGTATAAGACCCTATGTTCTTTGCAGAAACTTTAGCCAAAACTTACCCGTCATTTGGCTCTGATGTGTGATGTACTGTGAACAAATTGCCACCTCCTGCTCCTAGGCTAGTGCAGTCCTGTAGCATTTAAAAAGTGCAGTTTGTACATTCTCATGTGAGAGATCAGATGTGAAGACGCAAAAGAAGGATTGCAATTAATTTTTATGTGTCTAGTTTAACAAACTAATAATGACAAGTATAACGGCTCCACACCTTTTATACAGGATTCTTAGTTTTCCATCTTAGATCATCTCTCCCTTCTTTGCCAGATACCCACCACCTTCCATCCATGGAGCACGACAGTGCTTTGGCTTTGGCTCTTCAGCAGGAAACCAAAGAGGAAGCCCTGGCGAGCCTGGAGGATGCAGGCTTGTTTTTTTGTCAGATCTGCCAGAAGGATCTCTCGGCCATGAACGCAGTGCGGCGAGAGCAGCATGTTAACAGGTGAAAGACAAGCATGATGTGTCCTTTCCCCGTCCTCTCCCTGTTAACCTCATCGGCCGCTCACTCAGCTTAGCCATTAAAGAACATGGTAGCAGGGAAATCGGCACAGTGGCATTGACCTTTATGGCTTGAATTAACAAGTCAGCTTGATCTCAAAGCAGAGGCTGACTGTCTTGCCCTGCAGGGCTTCTGCATGCATGTGGGAAAGCCAGTGCTGCTTTTGTCAGCAGTGTGGCAGAGGAGCTGCGACTGTAAAGAGGCAATCAAAATTAATGAGGACCCGCTAGTGCAGATTTTGAGATCTACTGATTTCAGCCAACAAAGTAATGTTTGCTCTATTTTGCTGAAAGTTGTTCTCTAAGGACATCTAGTATGTCACGGTGTATGCGAGCTCTGTGCTGAGGGAAACGTGATACTACTCAGAAATATGACTAAATTGAAATTAGTGCCCTTAATTTAAGTTTCCTTAGTGGCAAATATCAAGGACTGTTAATATATTATGTACAGATAGGTCTTTGTAAATTAGAAGTCTGCTTCTCTGTTGAGAAAGTATCAGATACAGCACATTTAAATGATTGTAATTTCTTAATTCGAGCGCTTTCAGAAGGCAAAAGTAATTTAGTTTGTCCAGTCCTACATCATGTTACTGAGTGGCTCACATTCATTAGCCTTGTCTACACCTGCAGCTTTAGAGGTGTTACTGCTGTTTCTGTCTTCAGGTATTTACTGCTGCTTGAGAGGACAGAGGCTGTAAAACAGTGACGATGTGTCAAAAATGTTTTTTGGAAATTAAGTCTGCTTTCTGAATTAAGCATGTATGCATACGATGAGATTATATGGTTATATTAGCAGTGGATTTCTTTATAGTCTTCATTACAAGAGGTAAGGCTGTAGATGGATAGCTGCACTGACAGCTAGTAATCACCAGTCCTGGTGCATCAGCTGAATGGTCTCTCAACACAGCCCTGTGTGTGTAGGTAGTCTGTGCCATTATCTAATCAGGGAGTGATTTTTATAATAGGTACTTCAGATCCAGGGTTTCACACCCTGAATCTCTCTGGAGAGGACAAAAAAAAGAATGATTAATGTTTTTTACATAGTTTTGTCCTACCAGAAATTATTAGAAGTTCATCATCCTGCACTCTTGACTGCAGTGTTGATTTCAACTGCTCCCTTTTCTGTGACATAAAACACTGTCCTGGTCAAGTGAGATATCTGACTCGAAAGCACTTGTGTTCTTGACGCTGCTTGTGGTCATGCCTACAAAAGTAGTAAGGACGAGAAGTAGTCATGTTTCAGGTGAGGAAGACTTACCAGTTCTCTGGAAGGGTGATTCATTTTTTTAGCAGTGGTTTATAAGTTAGCGGGAATGTTACAGTGAATGCAGAAAGAGGGATTAGGTGATGGACACTTGATGAAGTTGAGGGAGGTTATTACCTGCACTTGCTTTTGAGCAACAAATATGCTTCTGAGGCCATAATCTCCATGTGACTTAGCTGTCATATTCATCACAGTGGTGAGCACATAATTCTTGTTTCTTTAGGGGATGTATCTGGCTATTACAGATATTAGAGGTGATCGTGCTTCGTTTTCTTTAATATGGTTTAAATCTTAGCATGGACAGTTTTAAAGTCTTCAGAAGTAAGCTTTGCCATCGTCTCACAGGTGTCTGGATGAGATGGAAGAAGCGCAGATGTCATCCTCCAGCAAACCACTGGTCCCTGAGTGTCCCATCTGCGGGAAGCAGTTCCAAACCCCACAGAGCCGAGTCAGTCACTTGAAGCGCTGTGCTGTCGAGATGGATGTTCCTCCTAACCTGCTTCTTCAGGCGGTGCAGTTGCAGGTGTCCACACTTGGTGATGCACCTCCTCAGTGTCCCAGGTAAGTTGGTAAGAATGAAAGATGCTGGTTACTTTCTTTGGCCTGAGAGACATTGACCCTGTGCTCCTGGGGGTGAACAGTAGAAGCAAGGCAGACTCACACGCTGGGTGGGCGCCAAGTCCAAAGAAGGTCAAGTAGACCCAGTACCACATGAGGAGAATGTGGTAGTTAGTTGGAAAAATAATTTAGCTTTCATTCAGAAGTGGTCAGGTGGTGGATGACTTCAAAAGTCAGCAGGCAGGAGCAAAATGGGGAATAAATAATTTTACACCGATTTGTCAGAATTATTTGTGCTCCATGAGGCAATTATGCAGTAAAGCTGAATGGTGTGTTTGAGCGTATTAAGCAAGCACATAGTACGAGTATGCAGTCTCTCCTCATCTGTTGTGCCAATGCCTCAGCTATTCGGCTTGTGGCTGTACTGGATATATGTACTTTACACCCTGAGCCAAAGAGGAAACAGGCGTGATGTTTTGAAATGTGTTCGGTACAGAGCTGCATCTGCTGTCTTGGATTTGAGCAGAATCTTCAGAGTACAGCAAGTGGTGCCTGACTGAATTTGTAGAAGGGCTGGTAAGTCCCTTTGTGCTGAGGTAGGACCATTGCTTGTTCCCTGTGGAAGCAGAAGAGTGGGAAAGCATTTTCTGGTGATCTGTTTTGGCCCTCCTTCAACTTGTTTTGTTCCCCATTAGTACAAAAAAGCATTCAAGGTAGGGATAGCAGATGTTTACATCAATGCTGTGGTCTTGTGCTTATCTTTGCAAAATAAAACTTTGTCTAAATTGCTCTAAATTCCATGGATGATAAGAAATCTTTTGCTCTCTGCTAGGGAAGAAGGTTCTGAATAGTTTTTCATTATCTTTGATATGGGAATCTCTCTGAATAAGTAGAGCAGCTGGTCTGGAATGCTCAGTGTTTCTTGTCTCTGATCCAGTCACATTAACTTGGGCTCCTGCTGCATTCTTGTATTTCAGCAATCAACCAAGCAGGTCAAAGCGAAAAGGCTCCTTCAAAGAGGACTCAAAGAAAATGCAGAAGAGGGCCAAAATGGAGACTAAGGATGAAGATTTGCTGGTTGCTATGGCAATGTCACGCTCTCTGTTGGAGCAAGAAAAGCAGGAACAAGCAAAATCAGTTACAAATGTGAAACCAGTGGCTGCTTTGCCAATCAAATGGAAGCCAGGATCAGGTATGTGTTAAAGCGAGTTAGTGTCAAAGGCTGTGTTGCTGGAGGAGTAATGTAACACAGCCTGCTCTGCACTAAAACTTTCCTGTTGGGCACAGGAGGGGTGACAGCCCTGGTTTTGTTTTATTTAAGCTGTCAGAGCTTCAGCAATATGCAGTATCCGCACACAGTCAAGAAGGGCTGCAGGATGTCCATGGGTTTTTGTGAAATCCCATAGGAATCTCAGGCTTTTTTCCACTGATTGATTGTTTTGGATCTGTAAAATACTCTTAAGCTGTTGGTTTTTTGTAAACCGTGGAAGTGAGAAGAAATAACATGAAAAGGTTATTGTTATTTCTCCTGCGGTAGATTTTTTCTTACTCATCCTGCTGCAATCTGGATTAATGCAGCTTTTTCAGCCTTATCTCTTATCTCTGTTTTCTTTCGGTAGTAGACATATGTGTATACAACATGCTGTTGAGCATGTGCTTCACTATTTCAATGTGCAGAAAGGTGTAGAAAGGAAGACAACTGCCAGAGGAGAGTGTTGAGTGCTGTATAGAGGGGAGACTTCACTCTTCATGCCCCTGCTCAGGTCTCCTGCCAATAAGTACTCCCAGTTGGATTTGGGGCTGGGCAAAGTAGTAAGACACAGGACTTCCAAATGAAAGCTGCTCAATGCTTGTGTGAGCTGTGGTTTGATATCATCAGTGACCAGTACACAAGAAAAGGAGTCCTTCATGGATTTGTTGGTGGATTTTTCTCTCCTTTTTTTGCAAAGCATTGCCGTACAGGCACCTTTCCGTGGGTCTGGCAGGTAGACTGCATGGATATCAGTTGCTTCCAGAATGATCAGATTTTGTAGAGGTGTGACAGCTCCCAACAGGCAGCAGAGCAGTGCAAGTAGGAGTCGATCTTTTCCAGAGTTCATTTCTCCCATAAGGGCGATGTGAGGCATCAACTACCTGTGGAAATCTCACGAGCTGTTGTAAGCTTGTAGCTGCCTTTTGGTCATCACAGAGTACAGCACTTGAAGGAGCTGGCATATCGAGCTCCTCTGCCCTATGTGATCAGCTGTTTATTTATTTGTATTCCTCTTCCTTTTCTTTTTAAAGAGAAAAAACGGCGTAAAAGAGGCCCAACTGCACCTCCACCATTACTGCTTCAGGACCCGGAGAAGGTCCGCAAAAGGATCCAAGAGCGAGTAGCTATGCTGCTCGCAGAAGAGATGGAATTCCCTCCTACCCCTCCACTTCCCCGCAGTAGGATTTTGGAGGATGAATCTGGGAAAGCAACCTGGCTCTTGCCATTGTCCAAAACCAGGGAGTGCTTTTTATGGAATATCAGCACTCTGACAGGACCCTGTGACCCGGAATTGTTCTACACTGCTGCATTAACCCCTCCAATTGTACCTTGGAAGCCTGTGCAGGTGGGATGCTCTTTTGTCCTGGCTCTGATATTTGCGTGCCCTGGTTCATTTGCCCTGTAACCCTTCTGTTTCCTCATTTGGTATTTAAACAAGTGATTCCCTGCTTCTGCATACTCACTGCTCGGGCCCTGTTCCCTGGTCTTACATAATTAGGTTTTATGATCTTGAACTTTAATTTCTCCCTTTTGCGGAGGAGACCAAGGCTCAAGTTACCATGCTATTCCTTGAGCTTTCAGAAAATAAAACTGATGGGAATGGAGAGTGCTGAGTAAAGGGACCCCAGCCTGTTCATTTTGCCACTAGTTTGTTCCTGTTTATGGCAGCCTGAGTTTTTTTTTTTTCTTCTTGGCACTTTTCTCTGATTCTAGTATGAGCTTTGCCCATGTACTGCACTCAGCAAGGATCTGAGCGAAAAGTTTAAACTGAAGACTGGTATTTGTCTTGCACAGAGGAGAAGGTGGGAGCGCCTAAAGTTGTGAAGTGAAGCATTTGCACTTCAGGCTTTCATTGTGCATCCTGCTGCCTTGTGGTGCATATAAGCTTTGATCTAGTTTTCAGTTCCATGGTTTCCTTCTGTTTTTCACCTAGATCTGCTGCCTCTTTCTGTATTTTTATAAAAAATAGACAAAGCTCTTTTAGTCTCTCATCTTATCACATACTTGCTCTCTGAGAAGAAGGATGCGACTTCTCTTCCTTCCTTCATTCTATCCTTGAAGAATTATTTGGTGCTTCTGTTCCAAAACTACTGTGCAAATATAGGTGCTTTGTTTAATGCTTTTTCCCTAGTCAAAGCCCAGAGTTTTTCACTGGCTTATTGCAGGCTAGGGCTGTAGTGGAGGGACTCCACTACAGATTTTTGATGTTTTGTTCAAGCCAAAAACTGCCAGAGAAGTTTAAAAATAAAAGGTAGGAAGGCCTCTAAAACCATGGCAAGAGTGTGCTTTCTCTCTTGATTCTTTCCGTTCACAGAAATGGCTAAACCATTTTTACTTAGAAATAAACAAACAAAACTATTTTTATTGGGAAACAGAGACCAAACCTGGAAAATATCAGCTCCAAGGTGAAGGTTTGATTTAGTTATATGTAACTGCAAAAGCATTTCAGAACTCAGAACAGAAGCACCTGGAGAGCTTCAGCTGTGACTGTTGCCAGGCGCTCCAGCTATAATGAAATATTTAAAAGTTTGAGTGGGACCATTTCCATCATCCTTTCTCCCTTCTTGGCAATTGCCTGCACAGACGTACTCCTGGAGAAACCACCTTTTCTTTATTTTCTGTAGTAGTTTTCTTTCTTCTGTTCAGAGTTGTCTTATCTCCGGAAAGTCCTTCAGAAAACTGTAGAGAGCTTTTGCCTCAGAAGCCCCTGTACCTGGGGAATGTTCTGTAATCCTTTACTAGATGTTCCAAAAGTATGAAGTAGAGACTGTACTCTGAGCTCTACAAATACATAAAATGGGACATAATTTATTGGTGTCTTTTCTTCCTCCTCTTTTGATCAGAATCATAAGCCAGAGAACCTTCTGCCATCTATGGAATCTGATCAGCCAAAAGTAACCCAGCAAATTCAGCCAGACCTCAGTTCTCATGAGCCCACTTGCACAGAGGTTGGAGGCCAAACTTCTGATGAATCCAATTCCAGCCCTGAAGAAGATAGGCAGTTTTTATCTAACAGCCAGAAGGATGTTCAGACCCTGCAGGACCTAGTTGAGTTGGCCAAGGAAGGACTTACCCTTACTCAGTGGAACCTTGATGTTGACCACGTTCAGGCAGCAGAACAGCCAGGTAAGTTCTGGCAGCCTGTGAGCCCTGTCCCTCATCCCTTCAGCTAGACAGAGCCAGACTTGGGCTGTGCTAAATTAGGAGAGCTGTGACAGCACCCACAGGATGTTGTTGATCCAAGAGGTGATATTGTAGGGGGGACATTTTTCTGCAGTAAACTTTAGATACAGTCAGTCAAGCTGATGTTTCTGAAATGATTCATAAATCCCAGCATGTAAGAGAACTCCTGGACAGCAGATACTCAATTTTATTTTAAAATTCCCTTGAAGATATCAAAGTATTTTGTGCCAGGAAAGAACCCAGACATATTCAACAGCTGGAACAAAATCCTTGTCCCTGCTATTTGGACGGTCTTTCTGTTACGTGCACTGTCTTTTCAGGTCTTGAGACAATTGGATGAGAGGGATGTGCAAGAGGGATGACTTTATGTTGGTATATCAATTACATAAACCTGAAGTTTATCTGTACCTATTACTTGTACCGTGTTGAAAAAATACACCACCTAGAATTCCTCTGTGGGCAGCTCTTTAATGTCCCCAGTCATAGCTGCATGTGGTGCACAACTGCATGTTTTAAGGTTAATGATATCCCTTAAAATGGCCTGGCTGTTCAGCAGAATGTGGTGTGTGTCTCCTGTTCACCTCTGAAAGAGAATATGGTTGCTAAATTCACCTGTCTGCATTTTCACTTGGGTGTAATATTCCTCACTTCCCCTGTTAAACCGCAGGAAATGATTCCTGGTCGTATAAAACTACTCCTGGGATTTTAGTGGAGTTATAGCTTCCTGGGTGAGGGAAATAATTTCTGCACATAAATGTATATTGTGTGTGTAAATGAGACCAGGTGGAGAAAATATGCTCTGCAGACGCAAATGCACCAGAACCCATTTCTGAAGACATCAGTTCTTTCTGTTGCTCTGCATCCAATTCTGTGCACTCTGTAGCCTACCGCAGGGCTTAGGCTGTGCAAAACTGGTATCACTGGCTGCCTCTGAGCGCTAGGGCCCACAGCATTTTGTCTGGGTTGAAATGCAGATCCAAGATACATTCTGCCTGTCTGCTAGGATGAGACCACGGCATGTCCCATCCCACTCAGTGTCCCAGTTTTTTTCCCACTGGAGGAAAACTGAGATGTGAAAGCAGAGAAGCACACTCCACTCTGTGGTTCTAGGATGATTATGGCACACGCAGGTCTGCAGTAGATTGGTGCTGCTCGTGGCTGAACGACACTTGGGTACCCACCACCTGTCACGGCCCAGAACCAAACCCTCCACTAAAGGCCTGAGGGAGAGGCTGAGCCTTCAGCTCAGTCAGGCTGCTGATAGAGCTGTTAGGAGTTCTTACATCACTCTGTTTGACAAAGAAGTTGTATGTGATTTGTGATGTGCATTTTCTTCTTTGAGGAAAAGAACTGACTTCCAGTGATATTCCACATAGTGGCTTCGTGCCCCCATCCAAAGAGAATGGCCTTCTGATGAGCAGCTGTAAAAGAGTAAGGACAAACCATTTATTTTTTCCCGCTTTTTTTTTTTTTTTTTTTTAATTTACCACTGTAAAAAAGAAGCTATTGCATTTGTACAATTCATAGAAGTATGGAATATTTCCCATTCCCTTCCATAGAAACCAAGAGGTGCTTAAGGTTCACAGTCACTCAGGAACCATCATGGGCGCAGGTGAGATCAGCACATGTGGTGGTATTTCATTGATGCCCACAAGCAGGCCTGTAGATTTTTCAGTACTTGTCCTATGATGAGAGAGGTGATTTAAAATGACAGGTAACGTAAGGCCAATCTGTGCGTAGTTTATATAAAGAGGACCAGGTTAAAGAGTTGTGTTATAGCACTAAGAGTATTTGGGGGTAGGAGCTAAGGATGCAGCTGCACCACACTGGGCAGTACTCTGCTTTAATGCCCGGGCTATCCAACAGAAAATTGGCTGCAGCCCAGGAGAGACGGAGCTGCCTGGTGCTTCCTCCAGGCTCGAACACTCACCTACCTCAGGTGGTGCTGAACAGAGCTGTTCCTCCTCTGTCACCTTCCTCTCCACGTCGTGCTTTCCAGTGGAAGAGAGAATTCTTGCAAGGACTGGCTGAGTCGCACTCAGTTCTCTCATCTGGCATGTAAGCCTCGTAGAGGATGTGGAATGAGGTGAGGTCCATGGAAGATGAGCGCTTTTTTTGCTGCTAATGTGAACTTTTAGAAGGTTTAGTATAGAAAATTCTCAATTGTGGGAACACATATCAGGGGATCTAGCTTGATAATCAGTGTGCTCTCCATGGTGAGTAGGTGACAAATACGGGCTAGTAAGTCACAGTTGACCTTTTTTATCAAGCCAGCAGAGTTCTGTAGATCACATTTTACCCCAGTTGCACCAGCGGATAAATAATCCCCCACGGATGTATAGTCAGTTTTCTTCAATTGAAGTGCATATAAAAAAAACCCCTAATTCATCTTCTTACCAGAATCATCCACTTTATCTGATGAAACTTACAGTCTTTGGTTTGATAATAAATAATTATGCTATGAAAGCTAGTAGCTTTTGATGCCTTGAGAAAGCACTTTCATATTGTGCTAACAGAATTAAGAAACTTCCAAGTGGAGACAATTCTGTGAGGTGGGAAGCTACTAAACTTAAGCATCCCAGCTACTTGATACAGAAGCTCTAGATATGCTTTGGAGGTGTTAAAATCAAAAAATCCTTAGCAGGAAAAAACATCTTGTTTTATAAGCTCCTGAGACTATTAAATCAGAGGCTCTAGCAATACAGAAACTGTTCTGATACTGTTGTTGAAACTCAGTTGCTACCAGCAAAACCAGTATGATCAGTTTTTCAGATTTAGGTTGATTCCATGATAATTTTCTTGAGCAAAGTAAGTGTTGCTGAAGAGTTGGTTTGCCAGTGGGAGAGATTTGTGCTTTATATGAGCACAGACAGAGTGTAACCATGTAGAGCAAATGCACCCATCGCATTGGTAACGCACCCCCCACCCATGCTAAAGACCCTTGTCACATCTGTGGAGTCCAGCCTAGCTGGCCTTCTCAGGAGGAGAGAGTGTTCTGGTGTGTTCTCCGACAGGAGCACATGCCCACTCAGAGCTGTCTTCAGACCAGTCTGTTTGCTTTGCACAGAGAATAGTGCAGCCAGGAGGCTTCTAGCCTTATTTAATTTCACCATTCCTGTTTCATAATTTTAGCATCAGCAGGAAAGCTGTTCTGGGCTTGCTGCCTGGAACGTAGCATCAGGAGTCTGTGTTTGCTGGCTTCCTGAGGTACTGTCTTGCAGGTGTCCTACCTGCCAAGAATAAGAAAGCAAGAAACATCAGATTAGTTTCCAGACAGAGCTTCCTGTCTTCCCCTTGGAGATCAGTCCGCACCACTGCCACAACATGCAGTCTTCTCTAGCCCACCTATGAAGGCCTGGAAGAAGTGTTCTGGTGGGTGCTGCTGTTTTGGTGCTAATTAGTGTTGGCTGCCCGCAAACACATGCTGGACTGAGTTGAAAGGTTGGGTTTCCACCGTCCACTGCTAATGTAGAAACCTGCTAATAAAATAAAGAGCTGTGTTGTTCCAGGTGGAACTGCATCTCCTGCAGATGTTCACTGAAATAAAACTTGCAGTTCCTCAGCTCTGCAGTAGCTTTAAAAAGCATGAGGTCAGTGATTAGTGTGGTAACTATAAACTAGTTTCCACTTACAGTCAGACAGCCTCTCAAGCATGAGCTTGAGGGTACTTCACACTTCTCTGAAGCACTGGCCACCTCCAGAGCAGCAACACTTGCCTGCAGGGATCCGAGTCTTTAGAAGATTGCCTGGGGTGGGTTTGTACTGGGAGCAGCTCCAGAGCGGAAACAGCGTTCATCATTGCTGTCTTTGGCAGCATGCCCCAGGCCTGACCTTACCATCAGCAGTAACCAGTCACAGGTAGCTCAGTCAGCAAGCCCCCCCCAAAATTCCAGCAACGGGTTCTAGAGCAATAATAGAAATTATGTTTCTTTTTTTATAATTGAGTGGATCTTTCAAAAGGGGTTTCAGTAACAACCACAAAAGTTCCTATGTGGGCCCCTTGTAGAGCTGTTCTTTTCAGCCATCGTTGCCAGACAGTGAACGGGAGAAGAAAGGCTCATTACCCCATGCCTGAATCATCCTCTTTCCTCTAATTATAGTGAATTGAGTTCAAGTCCGTCAAAGTGGAAATTACAGTTTCCTAAAAATGTGGTGTAAGGCAGTAGATCAAGAGGCCAACTGTAGGCAGTGGCTAGACCACATCAGGAAATGGTGTGGTGAAGATCTGAGGGTGATAATGTGCTGTAATACAGGGCAGAACAAGTACAGTAGCATACAACACGACTGCCCTTTCTTCTCAATTGCCAGACTGTGAAATGTCTGTTAGACTTGTCTGCCTGTATGAAAGACCTGGAGTTGATAATGTTGCTTGACTCTTCAGGAGGCAGAGGTATCCAGTGTATCCAGACTGGGGCTCACTGTTCAGCAGTGCTGATAAACAGGGTTATTCCCTTCTTATTTTTTTCAGGGGAACGTTTGACAGCTGTAACCTAACTTCTGTCTTTGTGGTCCTTCTGTGTTCTAGTCCTCTCTCAGGTTGCTGGCTGAAGATTTCAGTGCAATGGTCAACAACCCCCACTTAAGTGATGTCCAGTTCCAGGTGGACTGTGGGGAAGTCCTTTATGCTCACATGTTTGTGTTGTACGCACGGTGTCCAGAGGCCGTTCAAGTTGTAAGTACTCCTGACACACTCTCCTCCTTTGCTTCAGGAAAGCCCAGGCTGCTCACACCTACAATCAGTTAATGTGGCAGAATCAGCACAGAACACTGCTGGGCCTCATGGCAACTGCCTTTGGACTTGCAGTGGTTTTTCAGCTTAGGAAACCAGAATCCTGACAAAGCGGTGGAAAACGTGGTACTTTATCTGGGTGGACTGTGGGGAAGCAAGGATCCTTCCTTGTATTCTGCCCATGAGCAAGGGAGGAAACATCCTAAGTGCTTTTTTGCCCTGGAATATTTGTACCTGTGCAAGTATAGACTGCTTTGTCCATCTTGGTGTGTCCTGCCTGTCACCCAGGCTGGAAAGCTTGAGTATGGAGCAGTAAGATTCTGGAAAGTACTTGAAAATAACCTACACAGAGATTTTGTCACTCTCAGAGTTGCTTTGGAGGTAGCTGCACTGAACTGTGCTATTTGCAAGGCTAGTGAAGTAGTTCCTATGTTCCCAGAAGCATTTTGGGTTGAATAGTTCTCAGCCTGCTCCTATGCAGCCTCCTGTCAGGATAGTGAAAGGCTCTGAGCCTAACATTTGAACTCTACTCTTTCACAGAGCTGCCACCAGTCAATACAGCCAGCTCCCTAACAAAGGGAGATTTCTTAAAGCTGCCCTTTTGGAAAATTTAGTTTTATCCTCATGCATGTTGGCAGTAGTTTCCACCCAGGGTGACTCAGACCATTTCTAAAGGGTCACGAAAGTTTGAGGAGGAGCAGTAAGTTCATATATGCCATACAGCAGTCTTGAAAATGTGCGTGTGCCTACAGATCAAAGGACTTTAAAAACTATTGGGTTAGCCACGTTCTCGTATTATTTCTCTGCAACTCTGGCTTCAGCATTCCCATCCACTGTTTTCATGGGCAGGAATCATTTGTGTGGGTACAGTTGTGGGATTGGCCCTGTGCTGTATTTTTGATGCCTGCAGAGGGTTGTTTTCCTGTAAGTCTCCACCTACAGAGCAGCGTTTCATGTTTATTTTCTGTATAGGTGAGGGAGTGCTGCTCTTTGTTGAAGATTTTGGGTAACAAGGAGACCAACTAATCAGAGATGACTTCAGAGCTTGTGTTTTCTGTTGCATGGTGTCCCCTAACTGTGGAAAGTTTCAGATATCACAGTACGTGATCTGGCTGCAAAGGAAGTGAGACCTTTTGTAACCGGAGATGCATTTTCACCAAAATCTGAGATCAAGTTGGACCCCCACAAATAATGGTCCAGTTCAGTGGAGCAGTATTTTGTATGGTGTCTCTTTTCCTGTGAGACGCCAGAACTAGAGTTTTGGCAGTGCATCAAGGGTAGGTAAATTCAAAACAGATCAGAGGAAGCTCGCTTGTAGAGAGGTGTAGATAACCCTGGAAATTGTGCTCTGGAAGTAATTTGATTCCAAAACTAACTGGGGAACTCTAAGACCATCTTTTATGTGTGTGACTAAACTGAGTAGTTAAACTTTATCGAAGCTAACAGCTGTAGGGTCAAGAAGGAAATGGCCTGTTCCATATGAAGCTCTGCATAACTGGTCATCTTAGCGTCCCTCTGAGGCATCAGGTCCTGGTCCCAAGGTGGGACTTTGGTGAATGGAAGGAGTAAGCTGATAAGAACAAGAACCTTCGTGTTGCTGTTCCTTTATTAGCAAACAGACTTTGTTTGCTTTCTTCTTACCCCAGGTTCACAGCCAAGGGTTCTTAGTGGAGGAGGACGGGAACGCGCAGACACGCCGTGTGCTGCTGAGTGACGTGACAGGGGAGGCAGTGTGTGCGTTCCTGCGATACCTTTATGCTGCTGATGCCAACATCCCTGCTGGGGTGCTGCCCCAGGTGGGGGCTCTGGCTGCCAGGTTGGTATCGTGAGCATGCTTTGGATCCCCTCATGCTTTCAGCCACACAGGCCCCAACCCGCTATCTTCAGTTGCAGTTTTAGTGGCTTACAAATTCTCTAGTCCTCTGCTTTCATCTTAAATGAAACTTGCACATAAGAACATCCTACCCTCATCTTTTCCATAAGTCTCTCTTCAGGTTGTATCTGTGAGATTCTCTATGTTCGGTATATGCCTAGCAGACTTTTGCCAAGAGTTTTGTCTCAGGATGTTTATTGTCAGCTGATGTTGACAATGATGAGCGTATCTTCTATGTGTGATTCACAAAGTATTGCACTAGCGATGCACTTAATCTGAACAACACTTTGCAGAATGTATTGGATGCATAGAACTCCAATGTATTGTGTCAGCCATGCTCTCGATTGTGATCCTAGGCATGCGCTAAGTAACGAGTTTGAAATAGGAGCAGTTGCTCAGATACAGGAGGAAAATGGTTCGGTCTTGCCAAAGTGTATGTACAGTGCCCTGTCGCTCAAAAAAGCCATGAAGCTTGCACATGACAGACATTATCCAGCACCCCAGCCATTACATGGGGCTCTCACCAGTGCAGATGGCAAAGGGGTTGTAGAGTAGTCATACAGCTGTGTAGTCTCAAAGGTAAAAAAGGAAGAGCAAGCCTGATGCTTTCATGCAAGTGACACCTGGAAAAGGGAATTCTGAATTTTAAGAGTGTACAGGATCTTGGACATTGTAGGAAACCAGCATCCTTACGCAAATTCTTTACAAGGCTTACAAGAGTGATCAGGCAGCTAAATAGTGAAAAAATACTGGAGGAGGAAAGTGCTAATATTACTATTATATTCTTGCAGGTTTGGTGTGAGGGAACTGATGGCAAAGTGTGAAAACAACACTGGAGAGAGTCAGGTGTCCTCTGGAGTGGATTCAGAAGATGATCTTATCTCTGTGAGGGATGACAAAGATTGTGAGGACAGAGCTGAGAACTTCCAAGACCTCTTGAAGTCAGTGTGGGTGGGTGAAGATGAGGAAGAAGCAGCTATGCTGAACCCTGAGTGCCAGAAGGAAGATGATGATGGGATGGGCGAACAGGAGCTGGAAGAAATCTATGAGTTTGCTGCAACTCAGAGAAGGATGCTTCAAGGTGAGACAGAGGTGAGCGAGGGAACAGACTGCAGCATCTCCAGTGATACTGAGGCAGCCCAAGGTACAAACCAGCACACTGAGGAGGAAGACATAAAGAGATCTCAATCTGCTTCAATAACCAACAGCTTCAAAGATTTGAGGGATGACAATGATGTGGAAGGATCTAAATGTGACTCGTGTGCACAAGAAGAGAAAATGCAGAGTATAAATAGGTGCGAGAATGTGAGTGATCCACAGACCACTTTTGTGCCTCACCACAGTGAATCACAAAAATGGGACATAACATCTCACGGTGCCACCGCTAATGAGGGAGAGACTGTTAGGAGATGTGAAGGTGTGAAGGATTCCAAGTCATTTCAGGCCTCACATGACGAGGCAGATCATTGTGAAAAACAGTTTCCTAGCTTCCATGGTGATACTAATCTAAATGAAAGTTATGAACGCTTGTTTTCTGCAACTCAGGGAGATTACTGTGAGCCTTCCCCAATGAAAGAAGTTATCAAAGAGTCAGGAAAGGCCCCTAGTGAAAAACATGTTGATGTTAATAATTCACTTATGTACAGCAAGTCACAAAAAGACCTCTCTCCACGTAGGAGCAGTTTTTATGGGAGTCCTCCTCCCAAACCTTATTTGCCCCTTTTTCCTGCTGTTGGCTCTTCACCTGCATCTCCAGAATCAGAGAGAAAGTTTGCCGGAGAACACCTGTCAACACCAAAGCGAAACAAAAAGGAAAAATCATTCCCATCTGATGAAATACACTTTCAGAAAACCAACGAGCTGGATACTGCATCAAGAAACAAGAACACAATTTCTCCAGCAGAGCTTCCCCACATTGATTTAAACAAGCATACATCACTGGTTGTCAGAACTCAGGATGCTGCAGCTCAGGGGAACAAGGAGGGCGATGTTATTGTTTTATCTTCTGATGATGAAATGGAGTTACAACAAGACAAGAAGTTGCCAGAGTCAGGCTCTGCTCTGAAGAAGATGGAAATCCCTGAGCAACTGAAATGTACAAACGCAGAGCAGGGTCCTGAGATACCAACACCTGAGCTAAACTCATCAGTCACTGAAACAGAGCAGAGATCGACCCAGGTCTCACCTGGCATTACAGACACAGTGCATATAAGTAATGATTTAAAGATGTCCGCCGAATTGCCTCACAGCAGACAAACAAATATTTGTACAGAGAGCAAACAGAGTCCAAACCTGAGCCCTCAAAAAAGGCTCAGTCATGAAATGTCTTCAGGTACAGACAGCTCCTGGCTAGTGCCAGGCACACCGGTTTTGAGCAAAAGCAGAAGTTTCTCAACACAGACTCAGATCACAAGTATTAATTTTTTAAAGAATCCGGGATCTAAACTCAGCACAACGAACTTAGCAGCAGGTAATAGTAACCATGAAACGACTGGAAATTTAATAAAAGTTCATGAAACAACATTGTCAGACAAACATTTGCCTGTGGAGAACTCAGTCAGTGAAAGGATCCCTCCCAGCAACCCAGCAGCAGAATCATTTTCCAAGAACTCGCCACCAGTTTCTCCAGTGGATCCAGTTCTCTCCCCTGGCCACACCAACATAAAAAGCACGTGTGCCAAGATCCCATTTTTATCCAAACCTGTGCCTCTGTGCCATGAGCAGTCATTGGAAGATAAAACAAATATCAGTGTGATTGAGATAGGGGACAGTGAAAAGGAAGTAAGTCTGTCTTCTTTGAGCAGTAGTGTCTTGCTTTGTGACGAGCCCCCAGTCCCCGTTGATGACTGCTGGCGTGTTGAATATCTGTCGCCAGTCAGAGGTGGCAGCCAGGACTCTGGCCAGGTCAGCCGTGCGAAGACCAGTGCTGCCAGCTGCCCCAGACCCAGCCCTTGGCATGACCAGTGGGAGAGCCCAGTCCAAGGGCAGGAAATTAAGGGCAGTACCCCTCTTCGAGGAAGTCCTGTTGGCAGAAGAACAACTTTGCTCTGTCTTGAAAAGAGTCCTATTGAGACATGTTCATCAGTGGGCAGTAGAGCGAGTTACCTGAACTCCAAAATCTGGGATGACTGGAATGGAGAGGAAGAGGAAGCTGAATCTCCAGAGGTGCTTCCTCTGTCTCAGAGGTTGTCAGCTGCAGCAGGTGCCCGTCAGACAGATCCTGTAAAGACTCCTGGTGAGAGTTTGTATTATACTAGGTTTATTGGTCTAGGTTAAATTGTTTTCATTTTAATATGTTGAAAGGCTCTTTTGGCCTTCTGATCTGAAGTAGTTGTCAGGGCCAGGCACAAAGAAGGTACGGTCATCCTCTGATGTGGGAGAGACCATATATCCCATAAATGTAGGATTCCCAGAGCGCAGCCACTTACATTTCATTCACACTGGTTCTTTGATAGTGGTGGTACTCCTTGCAGAAGCTGCGGGTACCATGAGGAAAAAAAACCTAAACAAAATCAGTTTGCATGCCAGTGGATATTTGTTCCCTGTAGCAGTGGTTGCTCTGTACAGTCTTGCTTTTCACACATTCGTGAAGCGATGCTTGTGCTAACATGCACAAGGACATCAGGTAAGCAACACAGTGGTGCAGGCACAGAGGGTTTGCTTGTGTTGAGGCTAGCTGGGGGTGGGTGCCTCTCGCTGCCCATGCGTGGGCTCCACACATGCTTTCCTGCAAAGCTCTGCTGATGCTCTGCTGTCTTGTGCTGCCTTCTGTGTGCTAGTTCCTCGCCATTGCAACAGATCTCTGCATGCCCTGCACATATCCTTGCATGGTTCCTTCCATCCATGACCAATAATTGCTCTCATAGTACCTAATTAAATATATTATTAATTATGCCATACTAAGTGATTAGTTTAACGGGTGTTTAGAGACTGTGCTTCACAGTATCAGTAAATTGGTATCATTAAGTCAGTATCTAACTGAGGACACCAGAAGCTTGACTTGCTCAGTTTCTTCTACATCAGGTTGCTATTATGAAATTTCCTTCCTGGGAGAACCACCACTTCACAGAATTCAGTAAACACATTTTTTTAACTGCCTTGTAAACATTTGCCTATTCTAACAAAGCCCTCAAAGGGCTTCATATTCAGATGTGGCATATGTCTTAATTTAAGCTGGTTTCTGATTTGAAGTCAATAAAAACCAAGTATCTCAGGTTAGAAGAAAAAAAACAAACCAAAACATGTTGACTGTTTTGTCCAATATGAAGCTGAATAATAATTAAAAGAGCTTGTAGGAATGTAGTGCTACTTGAGCAATTGTATCATATTAGAATATCTGCCACTAAAAGGGGAAGATGCCAGCCATTTTAAGTCCTTCCTGTACTAATTCTCATCATGGTTATTTCATTGTGCTGCAGAATCTTCCTGTCAGGAGAACAACAAGCCTCCCAGCACTCCAATGACACCAATGCCAGCTTATTCCATCATGGAGACCCCACAGCTGAAGAAGGAATTGAGCAGGTTAGCATTACCTCCACGAGTATATCTTTTTATGAGCAGAAATTTGCTGGCAGGTTGTGTGAAAGAAAGTTCTGGGCAGAAAGTGAAACCATGGTGAAGCTCTGGTCAGTGTTTTTTGAGGTCATGTCACACTTTTCCAGCTGACCACTGGACTTCCTGGCCTGAGCCTCTTCCTGAGCTGTGACAGGGGAAGGTGCAGCATTATCTTAACCTAAGCTCCCAACTTTCTATTTCAGATTTGGAGTTCGTGCTCTCCCAAAACGCCAGATGGTGTTGAAGCTGAAGGAGATATTTCAATATACTCACCAGGACGTGGACTCTGACTTTGAGGATGAAATCCCACCTTCCCAGCCTGCCCTGCAGAAGTCCCCGGCCACACGCTCTAGGCAGCCCAAGGCAGGCCGGACTGCGGATGGAAAGCGTGCCGGTCCCTCGAGGGCTGCGGGCAAAAAGAAGCAGGTTGCCACAGCTTCTTCAGTGCTCCCTGTGGGGAGGGCTGATGATGGCCTTGTTGGATCCCATGACACAGGCTGTGCAGCACCCAGGGAGGGAACTGAAATGACACATCCCCCAAAAGGAGCCAAAGAGCAGAAAAAGTCATCCGCACCTCCAGAGAGATGGTCTCTGGCAGCTGATGGTGAGGAGCCAATGCTCTCGGCATCTCAGGAGTCTGCAGTTTCTTCAGGGGATGGAAGCGACATCTCTTTTGGTTCACAGAGGTAAGGCAACAAAATACTAAACAAAATAGTCAATGGTGCAGGACAAAGATGAGCTAGGAATATGGCAAACAGAGGTGAGCATCCCTGTGGCCTACAGTGGCCCTGCCACCTCCTTGGGTGTGTCATTCGAAGGTCAACACACTCCTTCCATCACTCAACAACATACAAAAGAAATAGGCTTTGTTTTTTCAGTCTAATGCCCAGTGAGCTATTCTCAGAACACAAAAGTGCTTGTGGCTGCATGTGGGCAAGACCCAAATCTGGCATGCCTGATCTCTGCAAGTTTGAGTGACAAGGAGTGCTTGGTGTTGACTGAGAACCTGCAGCTACAGGAGAGAGAGGACAGCAGAGCATACTCGGCAGAGGCTGCCGTGTACGGCAGCAGTAGGTGCTGTGGGTCAGGAACAAGGAATGCCAGCCAGCTCCCGGGCTGGGTGAGCAAGACCAGCACTGTCATGGCTGGGGAAGTTTGCGGAACACGTGCCGTGTTCTGCTTCACTCATTTTATGGGTATTGGTGAGTCTGTGATCCTGTAGAGGGTAGTCACAGGGGTTAGCCACCAGGGATTTGGGGAGCTCTGGTCCTGTCCTTGATGGTCTATTCTTTCCTTATTCTCTGGTCTGCTTGATCTTGCTTCTAGTTCTTTTGTGAATGGGTTTGAAGCCTGTGCTTTTGTATCCGAGGAGGAGGAAGAAGACCTTCCAGCATCTCAGGCAGCAGCTCGAGAAGAAGAAACGTTGGAGGCAGTAAGGTGCTACATCCGTTCAAACACAGCCCTGTACAACAGGGTTCTCTTTTATGAGCCAATTGAGTTGGCTGATCTGCATACAGAGCTGAAACAAAATGGCATTAAAATTTCCAAGGCAAAGCTGCTGGACTTTTTAGATGCTCACTGTATCACATTTACCACTGCCAGAGCCCGCAGAGAGAAGGAACAGAATAGAAAGGGGAAAAAAAAACAGAGGAGACGATACTGAATGGAGCCCACTCCTCCATCATGAAAATTTTTTACGTGGAGGCCTTCCTGATAAGCTGGAAACCCGATTCCAGGCTGGTGCAAGCAGCGGTGCTGTGATCAGTGGGTGCACTGCTCCTCCTTGTGGCCTGCTGTCCAGATGACGAGCTGGAGAATGGGTCTGAGCTGAGCTCCTGTTCCCAGCCCTCCGAATTGCACGAACTCCTCTGTCGCTGTCCTACCTTCAACACACCGGTCATCTGGAGCCTTTTTTTCCTCTCAGCTTTCCTCCCGTGCCTTTTCTTTTCTTTCCATTTTTCTAATAGGTTTTAGGTCCCTGACTTTTCTTCATGTTGGTGCTTCTAAAGGCAGGTGCTTCCCCCAGTGACACTTGCCAAGACCTTTTTCTTGGACTTGGGCTGTGAAACACTTCACCCTTCAAGTTCCAGTATTCAGCAGAATAACCTGCCTGCAAGAAACCAGTCCCCTTTCCCCTCTGTAGAGCACTGAGTGCTTAGACCCCAGTGACTTCTGTCTTCATTTCTTCAGCATAGTTTGCCCTGCTAATTGTTAAGGCAGGGAGCACTGTGGAAGTACAATGCCTTCCTTCTGTCCCTGGTTCAGTTTGCAATCTCTGTTAAAACTCCTTAATTGGTGTTTGTTAAATGGCTGCGAAACAGTGGAGGTGTTTTTGTAGTGTATTTGTGATGTCTCCCAGAAGTGCCCTCTGACACCAGATGTCATGTGAAAGCCCTTTAGATGCGAACATTCGGTTCTATGTGTTCACTTGCATGCTGGATCTGTGTTAAAGATACCATCTGCTCTGTTTTCTAAGGACCATTTTACCTTGTCAGTGTAGCTTGAGTACGTCCTCGACGGAGATGTTTTTAAGAAGAGAATATTACAGTGACCACTGGCTCTCTTCAGCACTTCTTACAACCTGATCTAAACCCGCTTCTCTGATCAGTCTCATTTCCAAACTGGACTGATCTTAGGCTGCAGACTGTCTGGGACTCTTGGGGAAGTCTTGGACTCTAAATTGTCATCCTTTATGTATTTACTTTTACAACATCTTCTGACTTTTGTCTGTTCTGGCAGTTCTGAGTCTGCAAAGAGTCTCACTTGACAAAATGGACACGACACGTCAGAAAAAGAAGCTCGATTTCTAAACATATTTATGTATTTGGAACATACAAATATTTTTTCTATTTTTGATACAGTATATCCCCAGTTTGATTTATATTATATATAATAAACAATTTGTAAGGTGCTAATGATAAACTATAACTTGTGACAGACTGGGGGGGTGGTTCTTAGTGGCAGCACTGGGTCTAGCTGAGAGCAGCAGAGGCCACAGTCTGTGCCTGTACTGGCTGGAACCCCGAGCAGAGACCTGGAGGAAGAGGAGTTGTCACGGGCACCCAGCAGCAAGGAGAGGTGCAGTGGGAGAGGTCACCCAGCACTGGCTACCTGGAGAGAGATGAGCTGCCCGGCTGAGCTGGGCCGTGCAGCCCAGAGGTAAGAGAGGCTGGGGGGGAAGGTGTTGGGGTCTGCCGGGAGGGTGGGTGGGTGGTGGGGAAGGGTCCGGTCTGGCCATGGAGGGGGAGGGCTGCTGGTGAAGGGGAAATAGGTGACCGCCTGTGAACCTCCTCTTCCCTGCCAGGTGTCCATGGCAGGAATAAGGGGGAGGGGGGGGGAATCTCCTTGCAAAGCCTTCTGCCATGTCTGGTGAATTTTCAGGAATTTGGGATAGTTTTCTTCCCTGGCAGTCACATCACTGTTCCTCCCCCACTTTCTTGTGCAAGAGCTGCCAGGACATGACTTTGTTACGTGAAAAGGACAAGGCTTGCCTTAAGTGGCATTCTAGGAAATGTTGTTTCCCTCAGTGTACTGTGTATTTCTCAAGTACACAATTCATACATGGAAAAAGGTTCAGTCTTACTTATCACTGAATATGAGAAAATAAGATCCCTTCCCAGCTTTTTTGCTCTGTTTTTAGGTAAGACTTACATTTACTATCAAAGATTTTGTAATCAATTCTTTATTACATCTTAACCTTCAATGAATGCAGTGTCACGCTTCAGTGGATATAAATTACAATAATACAAACAGCATTGTGTCATAAAAAAACGTTTAGCATATTACCAAAAAAATCGGAATTTTGGTCACCAAAAGTGTCTCCATCCTCCTATCTTTGTCATGCTTAAACCTGTTAACTGGTCAGTCTTTGCCTAATGCAGAAAGATGATTTTAAATATCACATCTGTGCTGTCAGGGTTTGGAGGCGACCACTTAGCCGTGGGTTGCCTCGATGTTTCCTGGTCGCTAAAGGTGACAAAATCAACTGTCTCTTGTAATTCTAAAACTTTTCTCAGGTGATGAGAAAAGGATTTTAAATATTTTACAGCCTTCAAGAGTACAAGGACATATCCGACATACACTGCAAATTATCTGAAAGCAATTATTCATTCACCTGCTTCATTAATCTGTCAGCAAAGCGTGCCTCCCCAAGCTAACACTGGTGGTGCCATCTGCCAGGGATAACGTGTTGCCAAGCGGTTCAATTTGTATATATTTCTGTGTTTTCTTACTTTCCTAATGCAGGCTCATTTGTCTTGGAAAATATATTGTAATAATTTTTTATATCCAACTGTGTAGTAACAGCTATCAAAAATATTTGACACTTCTGTTTGTTTTAACACTTCCAAGGCTGCAAAAAAGAAGTACCTTTTCAACTATGGTATTCATTGTTTTTTAGAGTTTTAAGAAGGGAGCAGATACGTTCCTGGCTTTGCACAAAGCTTCTGTCTTACCAAGATGCACCATGTGGGCTCTGAGTGAGCTTTGGAAAACAGAGCTTCTAAACTTGCTGTGACAATCAAATGATCGGTGGGATCGATTATGGATACTCCTTTGCAGCTACCACCATGTTGGTTTGTGTACTGTCACATTTCCTGCCTGAAAAAATAGTCTTGATAGGTTTATTCTGAAAAGCTGTGCTGCAGATGTTTACTTAATAATCTTGCAGGTGGGAAGAGAGCTGTTTTCTGGGTGTCCACTTACTCCAGAAGTCACTCTGTCTTGATGGCATTTCTCGAGTGGGTGTGATCCATCACCGCAGTCTCTGCCATGGCCAAGACCCACGTAGGGGCCAGTTTTAACTGCAAAACATGAGAATGCTGTAAAGCACAGAGTGGTGACTGCTGTGCCTTCCCCTTCTACTGAGTCAGGAGAGCTTATAGTGCCAGCACTTAGATATTGAAGGGATAAATCCGAGACCAGTTCTTTGAGGGGACTGGAGCTGTTCTGTAAATGCATTTCAAATGTGTTTGCTTGCTTTTCAGATCATTCCTTCATAAAAGTTCTCTCAGAGGCGTTGCATATAAGCTGCTTGTTGTTCAGTGAAACACAAAGTGCCTGGGAGAGGGGACACAGGCCTCAGCAAAGACCTCCCCGATTCAGTTGCTGCCCCCGGGAGGGGGTTTCAGAGGTACCTGCAGCATTTCTCTGCTCAGGTTCCTCACCTCTCCAGCTGCTCTGCTGCCCAGTCAGTCATCTTGTAAGCTTAGATTACTAAGGGTTCTCACTAAGGCTTTAAGGGATTGCTAAAGATGTAAGCTAGTGCCTAAGCTGGGCAGAAGCCCGCTCCTCCTTTCCCAACACCACTTTGGGGACCCAGGAGGCTCCGGCAGTGCCCCCGGGAGTTCTGCATCTCTTGGAACGGGCGCTGAGCCCACGTACAGATGTCCAGAGCTCTGCTTTGATCTCCTCTAGATACGTTTTTCTCCCTAGAAAGCGCTGGCCGCTACCGTGTCTTGTTCCCCCAGCTGCTGCGAGGAAGGGTCCCTGTTGCCCCCGGGTGACCCCGCGCAGCCACGCAGAGCTGAACTCCCGCCCTCCACAGGTACCCAGGGAGAAACCCCTCGCCTGCAGGAAGAGCCTTCGGCGGCGACGGCGGAGGGAGCTCCAGCGGCTGCAGGTAACGCCGCCGGGCGGGGCCGAGGTCGGGACCGGTTCCCTCGCAGGCCCCCGCCGCCGCCATCTTCGGGCGCCTCCAGAGGCGGAGGCGCCGCCCGCCATTGGCCGCCGCCGTCACGTGACGGGGCGCCCCGCCGCCGCCGCCCGGGCCCAGCCCGGCCCGCCCCGCGGGACAGGGGCCGCGCGGGCCCCGCAGCCGCGGTCCTGCCCCGGGGGGACACCGCGGGGGTTGGTGTCCCTGCTCGCGGAAATCATTTCAGAGCCCGGCTCGCCTGACCCTGCCCGTTTCTTTTCCCGGTGCAGGACTCCCGGGAGCGGAGCTGGAGATGATCTCCCACATGGATGGGAAGGAGGAGCTGTGGTTCGCCCACCTCCACGCCTACGAAGGGGAGACGGCTCTAAGTGGCACCTGTGCAGGTAAGGGACCGGTGCAGTCATCTGTCAACCTGTCGGTGAGAAAAAACTGCTCCAAAAAAACCTCCCCAGATCCCACCAGAATGCACAGGAGTGGTGGGACTGGGTTGGAGCATGGTCCTTCCAGCTTTGCCTGCTGTCTCTGCCGGTATTGGAGACACCAAGAAGAGCAGGTGAGCAGTGGTGTGTCCCTGTATGCTTTCCCAGGCCCAAGCAATCTGTGTTTTCAGAAACTCCTGAACTACACATCTGATGTCTCGATATCTTGCAGCTCTGTGTGTATTTTCTTGCCTTCTGAAGCTGTGTACGTTTTAGCATCCATGGCAGCTTGCAGCAAGGAGTTCCACAGCTTATTTAGCTGTTTATGAGTTGCTGCCTCCTTTGGTTTGCTTTGAAGCTGCCTTCGAGTAGTTCACTTGATGACAGTGCAGAATGGATCCCTACCCCCCACCACAGGCCACTCGTGTTTTTACAGTCCTTTGCGATACCCCCTATCAGCTGTACCTTTTACCAGCAGAATGGGCATTGGAGTCATCTCCCATGCAGAAGTTCTTCTGTGCCTTTGATTGTTTGTCACACCTTTGTATCTTCCTCAGCTCTATCAGAGTTTCCCTGAAACAGAGGGTCCATCCTCCCCCTTGCACACAGTCAGGATGTGGAATTTGAGCAGCAGGGCAGATTTACATTCTCTATTTTTTTTTCCTAACAATCACTAACATTTGACTAGCTGTTTTGTCCACCTAGGAGCTGCAGATTTCATCCATCTGCTCTAACTCCAAGCTGCTCTTCCCGAATGATACCAGGAACATCCTAGGCCCATCCTGGTACAAGTGCAAGGTACAGAGGCTGATCCCCTCTGCAGTTCTTTATGTTTACCTGTAGTGAATGTCCCCTGTCATTCCCCTGTCACCTGGTTGGTCAGTATCATAAGGCTCTGCCACAGTTTATCTTCGTAGTCAGCCTTTTTGTCTTGAATCCTGGTTAACACAAAATCATCAGCAGACATTTCCACCTCCCCTTTACTTCCCATATCACCTTATTGAGGGTCATTCATCCCACAGCAGCATAGTTTCTTTACCAGTTTTGGTGAAGGGCGAATGCCTTTGGACTCCTGACTTCTCTTTTGCTAAAATTGGTGACATCTCTGAAGAACTCCAAGTGGTTTGTGAAGTGAGACATCTCTTTCCAAAGGCCATGCCAGCTCTTCCCCAGTCTGCCCTTTTTGGCCATCTGTTCATTAATTCTCTTACTCCAGTTTCTGTTCATTTGCTTGGAAAGCTGGGCCCCAGATCTCCCCTCAAGCCCTTTCTCTGGCATCACATCAGCCACCTTCCAGTCCCCTGACAGTGAGGTACCACAGCCAGGAGTCTGGCAGTGCTGTGAGATTGTGTGAACAGTGCTGCTGGCTTAGACCAAAGGTCTGGGTAACTCCAAGCCCTGCCTCAGGGACTTGGGGACTGGCTAGAAGTGGATGCCAGGGAAGGGGACAAGATAAGCACACAGTGACACCTCCCCAGCACAGTCTGCCATTGTCCAGCAGCCTGAGGCTTACTCATGATGGTGGTGTGTTATTTTCAATAGTTCTCACAAGTTTCTCTCCTGTGAATTCTTGAATTCCGTGCCAGAGGCGATTGCTGTGCCCTTCTGCTGCTGTGAGACAGGCCAGAGCATCAAGACAAAACTTCTGCTGACTTCTCTTGAGAGAGAGCCAAGGGTACATTTAAGGTGATGTTGGTTAGGTTCTCTCCCAATATGTACACCCATTTGCTTATTGGAGCCTGCCTTGTAGCTACAGCACTAGCAGTCTTGGGCATATCAGAGGTGTTACCATCAATCCAAATTGGCATGGGCTGAGGAAGAATCACATTCTTCCTATCTCTCTTGCTTATTTATTTTTGCCAGTTCAGCCTTCTGCTTCCAGTATGAATTCCTCAGCATTGTGAACTTACTCTTCTTCCACTTAAAATACCTCCAATGAGTTCCTGTCAAACTTGATCAAACCCTTTACAAACAGCTTTTCCCAGATGCCGATGAAGATACCTACTAGCTCAGAAGTAACAAAAATGGTTGTAGAAGCTGTGAGTTGAAGCCGTGGCTGTAATCATTAAAAGAAGAAGCTTGAAACTCCTGACCTTCCCCAAAAAGTACAGAACACCATAGAGGACTTGATTCTCACGTACTTTGAAGGCCTTTCCAAGTTCTGTGTAAAGAACCAAAATTCTGTGTAAGCACCAAGGCTAGCATAGGTGAAGGATATCTCTGGGCACAACAGCAACAGAACAACTTCACTGGCTCCACTGCCTTGTCAGTAAGTCTGACATACAGGTCAAGAGCTTCATGCTGGCCTGCCAGAAATGTCCTCTTCGTATCCTGTCTCTGGATATCACCTTTCTCTTTTCCTCCAGGCCTGGGTAGACTAGCTGCAGACAAATGGAAATGCCTTCATGGTGAATAGCAAAGTTCCAGTTTCTCTTCCTCTCGAGGGGTAATTTTAATGAAAACTATATGAGAGAACAAGTGGCATTGCTACCACACCAAACTGCCATAAAAGGTATCTCAGGACTTTGCTGTTAAATCATGTTTTCTTACACTGACTAGAAAGAGGAAGATTAAATATGTATGTGTATCAGTCTTGGTTGAAATTCTAGACTCTCCTTCCTTTATTGCATACTTAGGGTTCAGTAGTGACTCTCCTCTTCCAAGGCACGCACTTCCTTATCGCAGCGCTGCCAGACCACAGGAAGTGCCTGTGGTTTGTACATCAGTCCCACACAACTGATATGTTACCAGCTGATTTCACAAGAGGTTTCAGAGAACCAGGAGGTAGCTGTTGAATCTTTAAGTAGGCAAATCTGGAGGTCTGTGTGTTTGTAGCTTTAGTCCTTAGCCTCTTCCACATTTTGGGTCTACATATAGTCAACAGCAAGTCGTCCTTCACCCCTGTAAGTCCATATAAACAGAGCATCTGGAAATTACTTCCCTGATGGACCTGTCTTAAACCTGGATGTGATGCCTCTTTTCCAAGATGCATGTTGCCATTTCTACATCCCACGTACATCCCTCCGACGTCCATTTACCCTCCCCTGACAGCAGAAGGCTGCATGCCACACAGGTCCTGTCTCGCCAATTTAGCATATAAGCCCTCAGTAAGCCTGCAGAGAGCTTACACGTCCCCACTGGCAGCAAAAGCCACAGCACTGTTGGGGGTACGTGCTTTTGAATCTGCTAGGATGCTCATCAAACCACGTGAGAGCAGTGGGCTGGAAGGAGTCACTGCTCTGTGTAAATACCCTGGAAATCCATGCAAGCCCCTTGTCTTGGAAGGGCTTTCAGCGGACCCCGAGTCTGCACAGCATAGATTCATACCTGTTACGCTTTTGCAAGACTTTATGTGAATAAGAGGGCAGGTATTTGTTCGTTGCCTGTGTCCCAGGAGCCATTCATAATTTCAGCTAGCCTTACTTCCACTGACTTGCATTACCTTCATCTTCTACATTTATCGGGTTTCCTCAGTGCATAATCTGCAATCAGCCATGGAGGATCTTCAGTTCTCCAACCACCTTTCACAACAGATTTGTTCTGCACCAGTGGAAGCATAAAGCTACCGTTGTTCTGCTCTAAGGGTGGCATAAGCCAGGCTCTGGGAGGTCTGTGTGTCTCATGCCTTAGGGCCAGTGTCTCCTTTGTGCATCTTCTCTCTCTCTGCCATACTAGCAGCACAAGATCAGGCAGGCTGCATATCTTGCAACCCAAGTCATGTTCTGCTGAACAAGGCAGTTCTTGATGGCCCTACTCTGACTTCTAGTTCAACTTCTAATAGCATTTTCAGATATATCTTGGAAGAGCAGCCATCTTTCCCATTCTAGCACTAAACTTTTATCTCTAATATGCCAATAATTTCAGTAGATTCAGATTCTGGCAAAGCACGCGGGGCTATTTCCAGGGTTTGTTCCTGTGAACACTGAAAAATCCACTGTGTAGCTTGGAGGGAAATACCAGGACTTTTTAAAGTCAATCTGCTGAATTTTAAGAATTTGGCCCCTTTTGATCTCCCCTGTCCAAAGCTTCCCGTCCTGCCTGTGACTTCTCTCGGGATTCTTATTTTACTGCAGCTGAAGATGGGATTGTGAGCAAGAAAGAGGAAAATGCCCACCGCCAAGGCATCCCCAGGCCAGTGGAGCCTGAGGGTTTACTCTCGGGACTCTCCAAGGAGAACAGTTCCCAGAGTCCTGCACAGGACCCAGTCCTCCCACGCAGGTCAGAAAGGGTTCCAAGACCTCTGGGGAAGAGGCAAAGCCGAGCAGTGCTGCGTGGAAAAAGTTTCAGGAGGCTGCCAGATATTATCCAGCAGAGAAATCCTTCTGTGGGGAGACTGATGATCTGTGGGGACTGTGGGAAGAGCTTCCGGGTGAGCTCCAACCTCATCCAGCATCGGAGAATCCACACTGGAGAGAAACCCTTCACCTGCGCCCAGTGCGGAGAGAGTTTCCGGCAGCGGTCACATCTCATCCAGCACCAGAGAATCCACACCGGGGAAAGGCCCTACGTGTGCTCCGAGTGTGGAAAGAGCTTCAGCATGAG